GGTTATATTCTAAAACTGATAAATAGACTTTTTTTTTTTTTTGGAGACAGAGTCTCACTGTGAAGTTCAGGCTGACCTTAAACTCACTGAAAGTGTCACAGGTAGCCCAGGCTGGCACTGAACTTATAATAATCCTCATAACTCAGCCTCTCGAGTGTTGAGATTATAAGCATGTGCCACCACACCCAGCTGAAAGTGATATATAGATTTAATGCAATCCTAATCTAAATACCAATAGCATTCTTCACAGATCTATACAACAATCCTAAAATTGAAATGGAACTAGAAGAGATCTAGTATAGCAAAAGCAATCCTGGGCAACAAGAGCTAAGTAGCTGGGCATGGCTGTAATCCCAGCACTTGGGAAATTGAGGCAAGGGGATTGTTCCAAGTCTAAAACTAGCCTGGGTTAGAAGTGAGCTCAAGGCCTGCCTGAACTGTATAGCAAGACCCTGTCTCAAAAAACAACAAAAGAGAAAGAGCTAAGTGGGAGACATCGCAATTTCAGACTTCAACTTATACTATAAAAGACACAGTGATTAAAAACAGCACAGTATTATGCCAAATAACAGAAGCAAATAATATGCCAAATAGTTATGGCAAATAAAGAGACATGTGCTCAATGGAACAGAACAAATGATGCAGGAACAACTCCAGGTACATTCAGCTACCTAGTATTTGACAAAGGAGCCAAAAAATGCTTTGGAGGTAGACAGGCTCTCTAATAGTGCCGGGCAAACTGGCTATTCACATGTAGAAGCTTGACTCTAGACTCCTGCATCCATGTACTGAAACAAAATCAGATGCATCAAAGATCTAAATGCTAAAACAGAAACCCTTAATCTGGTAGACAATGAAACAGGCAAAACTCCTGAAAACACAGATGTATGCAAGAACTCTATGTGTGAAAGAAATAATACCAAGAATTAAACAATGGGATCACATCAAATTAAAAAGCTTCTACCTAGTAAAGAAAACCACCAAAAGAGTGAAGAAACAACCTACAGAATGGGGGGAAAATTGCCAGCTAGTCCTCAGACAGAGGACTCATATCTAGAATATATAAAGAATTTTAAAAACTAGAAACCTCCAAAATAAAAGACCCAACTATGGGCAACTCATAGGAACAGACACTTCTCTGAAGAACAACAAAATGGTCAGTACTATATACGAAAACTGTTCAGTATCTCTAGTCATTAGAGAAATGCAAATTAAAGCAACACCAAGATTCTTACTCCAGAAAGAATGGCTATCATCAAGAAATTGAACAATAACAGCAGGGCATGGTGGCTCACGCCTGTGCTCTTAGCACTTGAGAGACTGAGGCAAAAGGATCACTGTGACTTTGAGACCAGCCTGGATACACTGAGTTCAAGACCAGTCTAAACAACATACTGAGAACCTGTCTCCACCCCTACCCTCACCCCCAAATAATAACAAATACTGGCAAGGCTGCATGGGTAAAGGAACCCTTCTACATTGTTGGTGGGAATGTAAACTAAGTACTAACATTATGAAAATCAATATGGAGACTACTCAATGATACAAATATTATTTAATCCAGGTATTCCCATTTAGATATCTTTCTAAAAGAGTTAAAGACATCATAGTACAGTGATACATGCATACCCATGTTTACAGCAGCACAATTTGTAACATCTAAATTTTGGAAGTGGATAAAGAATGGATAAAGAAAATGTAGTATTTGTATACAGTGGAGTACTACTCTGCATAAAGAATAAAGGAATCATTTGTAGGAAAATGGACATACCTTAAGATAATAATGTTAAGTGAAATAAATGAGACACACAATCTTAAACACTGCATGATTACTCTTATACAAAAACAAAAAAACCAAAATACAAAATAAAAGGTAGATAGCAGGAAATAGGGAGACAGATCTTTTTCAAATGGGAAAAGGAAAAAAGAGCACTAAGAGATGAGAGGGAAGGGAAAAGAATGGGAATGAAAGAATAATTAAGATGTGTTATGCACATGTAACAACTCCCCACAAGGAGTATGATCATTATGTATAAACATGTACTAATAAAAGATAAAAACTGATTACAAAAATGCCTTTCCTTTTTTCTTATCACCATCAATTACAATATCCCATCAATTTCACTTCCAGAATCTACTCAGTGCTCTTCATAGTTCATCTGGTATACTTCCCTCATGCCCTACCCTCTTGCTTCTTGGTCTTTGCCCAAGCCATTCACCTTGATCACACAGGTCTAACTTTAAACCGTAATCATTCCCAAGAGTGAGGGTTCTTCCACAGTCCAACAGCCAGGTCAGAGGCACCTTTAATTAATACCCACTGGACTCTATGTTTCCTCAATCACAAACACATTAGGTTTGTGATTTTGTTTCATTGTGATTTTGTTTTCCTCAGTACACAGTAAGCTCTTTGCCAACAGCACCATGTTGGTTTTGCTGCAGAGTGCAGCACAGCCTGACACAATGCAGACCTATGCAGACCAATGCAGTTCATAGGACCTTCCCCTCCTGCGGATACCTAAAGGACTTTCTGTTGTTGCAAAGAATGTCTCACCACACAGTACCCCTCACCACAGAATAAGCAGGTATTCCAATGGCACCCAGAAGTGTCACTGAAAGCAAGGAATATCCTTTCCTTGGAAATTACAGAGAATTGAGATTTTTCCAGACCTATTTTGGAAGGAGAAAAGAGACTACTTTCTGAGAAGTGGTCACGGGTTGGAATATTAGGAATGAGATGAAAAGGAGTGTGATAGAAGTGTGTAGAGAGAGAAATCTGCAGTCTCTAGTAGCTCACATAAAAACTAGTAACTTTTCAACCTATGGGTTCTGATGGATTCTCTCAGATCTTCCAACCACAGACAGGCTGCAGGTGTCTTAAAGGAGACTATAATCAATGACCTTCCAGGTGCTTCTGATCTTCAGGATTCTATAAACAAAATCATCTTGAACTGCAATTAGCATGATTTGTTGTTGTCTTTAGATAGCAGCTCCTTCTCAATCCGGGAGACAAGATAATCTTTACCTCCTGCTCTCTTCCTCAGCAGTACGCTATTTCTTATCCAAGATGCTTGGTACCAGAAATATTTCAGATTCAAAAGTATTTTTCCAGATTCTAGAGTATTTGCATAGAAACTTTTACTAGAGTTCTTCAATGACAACTAGCAACCCACTGTGGCATATATGTTTTAGGTTTGCCACTACTGAAATAGCCCTCACCAGTTGAGCATGACAAACCCTAAATCTGAAAATCTTATTAAATGCCACATAATGCTCCAAATGTTCTGGATTTCAGAGCATTTCTGGTGAGAGATGCTCAGGCTACAGTATAAATGTCAGAGCTAGAAGTGGTGGTGCACACCTGAATCCCAGCATTTTGTAAGACTGAGGCAACAGACCACAGGTTTGAGCCCAGCTTAGACAATTTAACCTGACCCTGACTCAAAATTTTTAAAAAATAAATAAAAAATAAAAAAGGAGTCTGGGATATAGCTCAGTGCTAAAGCCCTGGGTTTGGTTTCAAATACACCTCTACCAAAGTCATTCCAATTTCAGAGTTTGGCCATCATATGCCATGGACAACCAAGACCAAAATAACTTAGCAAGCACCTCTGGCAAGGGCAGAGGTTTGATTTGACTGAACAGAACACCACACAAAGACAGTACAGATTTTGACACCTGGTTACCCCAGGTGACATCCTGGCTCTCTACTCATAGCAGAGTGACTTTGGGTGTGACTTTACTTTTTTAAGTCTCAGTATTTTCATCTTCAAAATGGTGATGATGGTCTATCTTTCAGGATTAGTGAGTGAGATATGCATGCAAAGCTTCCAGCACAGAACAAACATCCAAGGAATGTCAATGTTATCACTACCATAGATTCCTAGTAGGATAATGATTCTAAGGTGAAAATACTAGAGATGAAATGATGTTTTAAATTTACTTCAAAGTAATCCAGGTGATGAGGAAAAAAAGAGAGTATAGATGAAATAAATATAAATACATTGCATTTGTTACCACACTTATAATTTTGAAAGTTAAAAATGTTTCCCTAATGAAAAGTTCAAAAGAGTTAAGTACTGAGGGAAAGAAATGCTATAAAAATATAAATAATGACCATTTAAGATTATACCTCACCTAAGTATTCAGGAGAGGAAAAATAATGTAAAGGGAAAGAAAGTACCTTCTCAAACCAAAATCACTTTCTTTAGATAAAACTGTCTTGTGCACATTTCTTGCCTCATTTTCTGTTCTGCTTAGGCTGTACATGCATTTTTAAGTAGACAACCCCTGGTGGCTGTCAGTACTCCAGAGCTAGGCTGAAATTGAGCCATGGAGCAGAAAAGTTCCCAGATTAGGAAAAAAGCAGAATGGACTCAAAATGCTCAGGAACAATGTGCATCACCAGCTTCTTCTTTACTAAACCCCTGTTTTAGACTTTTTTTTTTTTAAATCAGTACTGGGGATCAAACTACGTTTGCAAGGCAGGCGCTTATGCTGCTGAGCTAAATCCCCAGCCCTTGTTTTAGACTTTTACTTAAGGTTTCCTTGGGAAACTGCTCTGCTCTCTATGAGTTTGTATTAACTATTCTCATACTAGATGAGGGGTGTAGTCAGAGAATGTGATCACTAATGTGATGCTTCCAGGGAAAGGGAACTTGTAAGAGGTTCTGATCAACCACAGCACTTGTAACTTGTAAGAGATTACTTGTAACCTTGTAAGAGTAAACTTGTAAGTGTACTTGTAAGAGGTTACTTACTTGAGGGAACTTGTAAGAGGTTCTGATCAGCCACAGCACCTCTCTGTATCATCTCTCCTCTTCCACATCTTCCTACTTACAGAAGGCTAGAGACTGAATAATAGAATTCTTCTCACATTTCACTTTGAATCAATGAACTCATTTCAAGCCCCTCTATCTGAGAGAAAATGTCCAACAAGCTTTGTTTTAATCAAAGCTCCAAAACCTGCCTGGACAAGGAGAATAAACGAAAGTACTTACTCTTCTTGAAGAATGAATTCACTATTTTCTGGAGAAAACTGCCCGGTCACAGGATGCCTAAATGCTGTGGTCTGCTGGTTATGGCTAGAGAGGCAGAGAGAAAACAAATGAGAAGTCATATGAATGGAAAGGATTACAGTCACAACAATGTGTCAGTAATACCTGGGAACCCCTTGGTCATCACAGATTCCTCACAGGGTGAGAAAAGTGGGCCCTCCTTCTGTGGTGCATTTAATCTATTAGAGCCAGTTAAATTGGAAAAACTAAGAATGTCCCATTTAGGTGTCTAAGTCCATCTAAAGGTAGAGGTTTTAATTCTGAAGAACTCTTGATTTCAAGAAACACACAGTATCTTACAAAGCATTTCATGAAGTACTGTATTTATTTCACTACACTTAGGGGTTATCTAAAAGTTACTTTAAGATAACACCAGCTAAAACAAGAACAAAAGGAAGCAAAAGACACTTTCAGAAGCATCTAAAATCTGTGAACCAGGGAAAGATTTCTAAAAATTAGCCACCCATCCAGAAAATTCTATCTTAAGATTCTTCCCCCTACTACAAAATGTCTTTGGTTCAATGATTGGATGATAAACATACATGCAGGTCTCTGCAACTTGAGCCACACAATTTCAACATCAAGGGGTTTCTATCACCCTTTTGAAGTTAGAAGAGATCCGCTTCCATCCCAAGTTGACAGGGACAACCAAAGTGTGTAGGTGTTTTGTACGCTGACAAAGACTGCCTAGTTTTTTCAAAAGATAGAGGAGCTGGCTCTAGAGGCTATCGATCTGTTCCATAAATAAACTTTACTAACCTACTTTTTAAAAACAACTTAATTTATTGAAAAAAACTTTATGAATCAAAAAAAATCATAGTTTTTCAAGATTTTATAAAATCTCATAAGAAAACGTTATCTAGAAAATCACTATTCGGAGATTTACCTGGGTATTGTTTAATACCCAGGTACCCCCACACCTTCCTATATAATTTCAGCTACTTAGGAAGCTGAAACAGAAGGACTGCAAGTTGGAGGCATCCTGGGCAATTTAGTGACACGTCTCAAATAAATAAAAGGGCTGGGGTTGTAGCTCAGTGCTGAAGCTCAGTCCTGAGTTTGATCCTAGTATCACAAACATATACACACACACAAACAAAAACCAATCATACTATATATAAAAATACCTTGCTTTTCCCCATCTTATTAATGTAGAAAGTACTCTAAATCGTTAATGCTTCTTCACTTGAAATAGTTAAATAATAATTCCGTCATACAGTTGCAAACCTTTTGTTTATATAATTTTAAAAGATGTCACAGGGCACCTATGTGCCTAGTCACTACTATATGTGCTAGAAGGAAACAAACGAACAAAAATCCTTACCCCATGGTGCTGACATTTTAGATGTTCATTCTTAAGCTTGGTGTTTTAGGTGTTCCTATCATCACTGCCATAACCAATACACCTTTGTGCATAGGTTTTTTTCTATAATTCAAATTACTGCTTTCAAGTCCCAGAGGCAAAATCACAGATTCAAAGGTCATGGCCATGTTTTAAAACCCTCAGTACAGATAATTAAAGTACTTTCACTGTAAAGAGTCAACAGATATCTCAGCTTGGTGATGTTAAGTCATTAGCTCCATCTCCAAATTGACTATTGAGCCTCCCTGGAGATTATGTGCAAATCAGCACAAGCTAAGAGTAACTCTCAAGGACTACACAGATTTCCTTATTCTGCCCTAGTGCCTAGGGGCAAGCTGACCACTGAAGGTTACAGTGGCCAGGATCTTAACAAAGCAAAAATTAGTACCACCGGGCCAGGCTGTTCCCTGACATACCACTATGTACCACACCTACCATACCCTCACCCTTCCCAATCACAGCTGGCTCTCAACTCCTGGTTTCTGTTCCTGGTAAGCTGGTAGAATCGTATGATTTCATGTGGCAGACAGCAGCTTGATCTTCTGCCCCCCAAAAAGCAGTTTAGGAGTGAGCTTCTGTGATAAGAATGAAAAAAAGGTATCCTTTAATACCTGTTTCAGAAATCCTTCCATTGCATCCAATGGTTAGACTTTATTTGCACTCAGCTTCTTTTAGAGAGTCATCTTCACTCATCAGGGAATTTGCAAATATAAATTTTAATCTAAACCTGCCTTATTTCCACATGGAGAAAAAATGCCTGCTCATAATATTCACAACAATAAAACAACAACACTGTCCACTATTACATCTAAAGGGTTTTATAGTCTGCAAAGAATTTTCTTACCCATCAACTCTATTTTATGAATGAGGAAACAGTTCAGAGAAGTGATTTGTATGAGCTAACTTTGTCTATAAGACTGGTCCACGAATCTAGGTTCTCTATTTCTAAATTCTATGCTTGTTGCATGATAGCCTACTCTGCCCTTCCCTTAGGAACCTGAGGCCATCAAGTTCCTGGCCCTCACCAGAAAACACTACAGAAAAAGAGTCAAAGGACTCGGGATTTAGCTCAGCAGCATAAGTGCCTGCCCGGTAAGCACGAGGTCAAGAATTCAATCCCTGGTACAAAGAAAAAACAACAGCATGAAAAAGAAAAAGAGTCAGAAAAATAGCACCACAATAGCACCACTCCATGCTAGTCCCCCTCAGGCTAGCTCCCTCTTTCCCCTTGTGTCCAGAGTCAAAGTTCTCAGTAACAATATCTGTGTGGTATTCAATAGCTCCCTTGTAGCTTTTGATCCTACAAGATTAGCTGGTGGATCTCTGGTAAGTGGGAGCACATAGCACATCTTTTATATGATCCTGAAGCAGACACAGCAGCCAGTGGTCACCTTTTGATACATACTCTACAACTTTAACAGCAACTCTTGGGCTTCCCACCCAAAGGGTGTACCAGTTTAAAAACACCAAAAGTCTTAGCTAAGAGAACCCTAAGCTTCAAAGTATAAACGTGAAGCATAAATTAAACTTTGCACTCTAAGATTAGAAATAAGGTTGTTTGGGAGTGTTTTTGTTTTGCTTTTTTGGGGGGAGGAGGTTGATTGGTTGGGGGGTGCGCACGCGTGCGTGCGTGCGTGCGTGCGTGTGTGTGTGTGAGAGAGAGAGAGAGCGAGAGAGAGAGAGCGAGAGAGAGAGAGAGAGAGAGAGAGAGAGAGAGAGACAAGGTCTTGCTATATAATTCAGGCTGTCCTTGATCTCACTAAATAGCCCAGGCTGGCCCCAGACTTGCAGCCATTAGACTGTCTCAGACCCCCAAATGTTGGGTTTATAGCCATGTGCCATCATGTCTTACTAATAATTTTTCAAAGCTCACAAATAGCTGCCATCAGGCTCTAATATAGATACTGCCCTCTGTGCCAATCATTTCCAGCCCCAGCATCATCACTACTATCTCTCACCTCCACACAAGGCTTCTATCACATATTCATTATCTTACTGGATCTTCCTGACTATCCAATGAGGTAGGCAGGACAAGTATTTCCATTCCCATGATACAAATACACAAAACAAGGCTCCAGGTTATTTGATGCTATTGGAGTACTAAATTTAAAAATTAAAGTTTTAGGAAAGATTCATACATTGAGGGAAAAAAATTAACCAGAGTAATGCCTCCTGAATACAGAGGTCTTAAAACATGGTCATTTTTTTATCAAATGCACCCAGCTTGCTAACGACAAGGCTTCTAGTTCAGCATTTTCTAAGCAAAAGGACATGAATTAGTCCCTGGGTTATTCCGTTCAACCTCTCTCTCCCAACAGCCAGTAAGGTAGGCAATGTATGATCACAGCTATGAATAAAAAAAGTAGAACCCACAAGAGTAGACAATTTGCCCACAGTCACAGTCAACTCCTGTGGTCTATAGAGTATCTATAGTATACAGATACTATCCCCTCTCATTTCTTTCCACTTCCTCAGTGCATCCTTACCAAACAAAGACTGCCTGTTAAGGTCTGCAAGTCCTTTGTCTTTACTTGCCATCCAGGCAAGTATCCTTAGCCCCACAGCTGTCAGTCTTCTGCATTTCCTGATTCTAAAACCCACAAAGAATATCAGGTCCTATCATACTCTCAAGAAACATTTAACAGGCACAGGCACATTCCCTGAAATACCTGTTCTTGAACCTGACTTGCCACCTTGTTCCTTTGGAGTACAGAAATGGCCCCACCAGGAGCTGGGTGACTGGTTTCAAGACATCAGAAACTCCTCCTTTTCCACACAAGATCTTCTGTTTCTCATCAGTCTACTGACAAAGTGATTTGGCAAATTAAGTAAAACACAATCTAGTCCTCTTTTTCAAATCCCAGTCCTTCCCCCAGAAACACCCCTTCAAAGAGATAAAGCATTCAGTCTCACATGCAGGAATACCAGGAAGTATGACAGGAAGGTGGCAGAGGAGGCTGGGTAAATATCCAAGTAAGTAAACACTTGCCTTCACAAGCCCTGGGCTAGGAAGAACTGGGGTAGGTCCTGCAGAAAGCTGGCAGCAAATGCAAGAGACCTGATAACACAATGAAGTAAGTACAAGGACAAATTAAAGACCATTTAGGCCCAACATGAGAGTTCACCTACATGGACAGTATTAGTGTAGATATAAATTTACCCTCCACTTCCTTACAGTAGTTTTTGTTTTGTTTTGTTTTTTTGTCTTTTTCCTTTTTATTGGTACCGGGGATCGAACTCACAACTCCCTGCTTACAAGGCAGGCGCTTATGCCGCTGAGCTAAATCCCCAGCCCCCTTACAGTGTTTTTGCAAGATTAATTTTCCATTTATATGGATTTTGACTCTAATGTGAGCAGTGACTCTGGCTGATTAAACAAAATTTCCAGTTAGGACTACAATGAGGGAGATGGTGGAGAGAAGTTCTGCAGTTATGTGAAGGATGAGAACAATGGAAGTCTGAGTACCCTGGAAGCTTGGGTTTCTGAGTGGTGATATTGGTGTGCTGCAAGTGCAACAACTCTCCCGTATCATTACCAGCTCTTATCTAGCCCAGACTTTAAAATATAAGAAAGGTATCTGACCTACAAAGTCAGAAGAGGAGTTTATTCTACCAAAGATTTTCTCACTGGTATGCTTAGCAGTATTTGCCCCCTCTAAACATT